GAGAGAGAGAGAGAGAGAGAGAGAGAGAGAGAGAGAGAGAGAGAGAGAGAGAGAACAAACAGGAAAATCCCCCTACTTCTGAGTATGAGGGCATTTCCTTCCAGGGCTAGAACTGGAGCTCCTGGACTGTCTCTGTCTGCATAGACCCCTGCCAATGTCAAGGCTTCCTTGATTTTAGAAGGGGAAAGATGGTGAGCCCATCCTCACTCCCAGTTCAGAAGCATTAATTTCACAATGTCACCTTCTCTCCAGTGTGCTGCTGCCATGGATTTTGCAGAGAAAGGACCTCCCTCCTGATGTGGGATTCCCCTCTGTATCCTATGAATATATTTTATTACCATTGGTTAATAAAGAAGCTGCTTTGGCCTACAGCAGAGCTAAATATAGTCAGGCTGGAAGAGATATAGAGAGAGAGTAGGCAGAGTCCAGTCGGAGACATGCCATGTAGCTGCCAAAGGAGAGAGCCGCCAGTCACCCGTCGGAACCTTACTGGTAGGCCACAGCCTTGTGGTGATTCACAGATTAATAGAAATGGGTTAATTTAAAATGTAAGAGTTAGCTAGAAATATTCCTAAGCCATTGACCAAACAGTGTTGCAATTAATATCGTTTCTGTGTGATTATTCACATCCGAGCAGTCGGGAAACAAATGAGCAGTCTCCGCCTACACCCACCCAACACACACACCCACCTAGTGAATTCTATCCAGTGTTTACCCGGCACTCAGTTATGGAGTTGGTATGGTTGGTGCTTGCTCAATCCTTCCTGAATCTGGAGATGTCCTAGATTTTGACCACTGGCATTTGCAGTTCTGACCACCGCGTAATTCGTGACCCCATAGTGAACTACCAGAGCCAAAAAGACACCAGTTGTGGCCAGAGACTGCATTAAAAAGCAGCCAACATCTCAGGAACCATTCGGCTGTCCTCAGTTTCTCCTACTGAGTCCCATACAAGGCATAAGAGACCTGCAGTTACCCTCCATGTACAGTTTCTCCGTGGCCCCACTCCTCCTCTTCTGCTCACTGAGGTCGGTACTCACCATATACTAGGACAACTCACTTGACCCTAATGCATCTGCAGGAAGTTGTTAAGGATTTGCTGTCTTTACTGGAGGAGTCAGGGACTGTGCATTCCACTCAAGGCGCAGCCCTTCTAGAAACAGTCCTGGTGTTAGAGGCCAAGTGTGTCCATTCCCTCCATCCCTGCGCTCTGTGCCTACTGCAACGTGACCTGCTTTAGAACGGCTATGCAGTCAAACTGGGTGGCTCCCATCTGTAATCCTAGCACCTGCAACACTGAACCAGGAGGATGGCCACTAGTTCCAGGTCATCCTCATCTACATAGCAAGTTAGGCCATACTGGGCTACACTAGTAGATCCTGCTGAAAAAAAAATCAATCAGCCATCACTACCAATACTGCCACCGCCGCCACCACTACCACTACCACCACCACAGCGCCAGAACAGCAGCGGCACCACCACCGCCACCACCAAGGACAGCACCACTTTGCACCACGCCTCTCTAGTCCCCTAAGCAAGAATGAGCTTTCCTTTGCAGGATGGAAAACGCCTCTTACCCTACATTCCTGGTTCTGCCTCCAGCCTCTCCATCCTTGACACAGAGGATGTAGAGTGCAAATCAGAGACCACGCTGTGCAGTGACGCCTTGCTGTTGTGGAGATCGCGCCCACATCCTTCTCACACATCTACTCCCCCACAGCAGGGGTGAGTGGGGCTTGTGGACGGAGGATCACAGCTGGCAGATGAACAGATCCAACGATCCCAGAGCCAAGAATTCCATCCAAGTGAGATTCCACTTAAGAGGCAGCCAAGTCAAACTAGATAATGAGGCAAATTTTTGGTTATTTCTGTCTTTGACCCTAGCTTGTATTTAGTCTCTATGGTATCGTATGCACTTCTGCATGTGAGTGTTTCATAGCCTTGGCTCTGTCTCCATGCTACTCCCCACTCCAACTTGTAAGCCCGCACATCGTTGTCCCATCCTTCTGAACTATGCAAATTTCCCCAAACAGGCTACACATCTTGATTTCTTTCCAAATTCTTCACCGATATCATTTACTTTTCTGGATGCATGTCCCTGCCCATCCTTAATGCTGGATTCTTCACTCATTCCTGTAACTGAGGAGCATTGTTCCCTGGGACCTTTACACAGCCACCACGAGGCTGTTGGGATGCACTCAGAGAATCCTCAAAATGCTTGGAATTGCAGTTTTTAGAAATCTTCATTTTGACCTGAAGCCATATAATAGACTTTGAATCCCTCCTATTAGAAAGCAGAGGTTCTCTTTATCTTCTCAGAAAGACATACTATGTTCATTTAAATGAAAGAAATCAAAAATTCCAAAGAGGATGCTGTGTGCCAGGTGTGATGGGATGCACTTGTAATCTCAGCACTTATGAACGGGAAGCCGGAGAATGCTGACTTCCAGGGCATCCCGAGACTGTCTGACAAAGGGCTGCATTGACATTGTGAGTACCCCGAACCATGATTTGATCATACATGAGTCTGGCATTCTAAGATTAAAGCTGTCCCCATTCCAGTTACTGGTTTTGCCTCCCAGCACTCTCTGAGGAAGGTGCTGCTGTAGTCTTACAGGTATGCTATTAGGAATGACGAGAGTTAGTGAATAACGGCATTGCCTTTTGGGTTTAGAGCCTACACCGGAAGCTGTGGCTTCTGGTCTTCCAGGGAAGTCAAAGGGAGGGAGAACAAGCCTGGAGTCTGAGGGTGTCCTCACTTTCTGCAGCAGTGTCTAGCTCTCAGTGACACCTAAGCCTCATTAGCACCCCTGATGTGATCTTACTGGCTGTTCCTCTCCTCTTGCTTCCTCCCAGCCCTTCTGGAATCCCCTTTCTGGGGTGGCAGTGGAGATGGCAGTGAAATCACTTAGAAGGAATTAATTGCCTTTGCTTCTAATTACTTTCCTCTTTCAAGGTCGATGGGTTAATTATGGAGACAGTAACCACATGTTAGAGTCCCCGGGTGAAAGGCACGTTCCCTTTCACACGATCACACCATGCTGGTGATACCCACCGGCCCCAGTGCTGCTAATGTAATTATCTCAGGGCAGGTTGCGCCACACAAATATTCACAGAGCTTATAGCACGGAACCCTCCAAGTGCATGTTCAAGGGGAGGGGGGAGGGATCAGACCTTACAATTATTTAGCAAGGAAAAAAAAATCATTAAGAATCTCTCTGTAGCCAAACGACAGCATGCAGCAGCTGTGGCAATTTTTAAAAGTAGAAACCACTGTAGTATGTGCCTCCCGGAACAAATCAAACTCTCGTGTTTGCTCTGCAGTGGGACCAGGGCTCTTTCAAGTCTGGATGGGGCCTTAACAGCAGCGGAGACAGTCCTAATATGGCTTCAGGTCCACATGCCCAGGACTCAGTTTCCCAGAAGCACCTGCTCAATGGCTTCAGAGTCTTCCCCCAGAGATAAGGGTGACAGCTGGGTGGATAAAGGTGCTCAGCACCAAGCTGATGAGCTGAGTTCAGTCTAGAAGATTCTCACGGTAGAAGGTGAGCACTGAGTCCTGCAATTTGCTGTCTGACTTCCACATATAGGCTCTGACATAGGGACCATCTGCACAATCAAAACAAAACAAACTAAACAACCCCCCCCAAGCCCCCCAAATTAAAAATCCTAAACCCACAGGATTTAAGACTCCTACATTCAAGTTTGTCATAAAAGACAGAAGGATGCTAACCCCTGACTTCAAGCGCTGATCACTAATGATAGGAACCACTCATGCAAATTCTCATCTCCTAGTACATTTAAGGAAATGGTTTTCACACTTGAGTGGGTACCGAATCCCCTAGAGGGCTGCTTATTAAAATCCAGATGGCAGGTCCCCACTCAGCCTTCTGACTCACCAGGGCTGGGGTGAGACCCCGGTTGCATTTCTAACAAGTTCCAAGGTGTGGCAGCTGCCGGGAACAGCGTGCTGGAAACGACTGACTTAAGTCAAGCTTATCAATGACAGTGATGCCGAGCTGTCTAAAGTGGCGTTACTGTCACAAATGTTACTAGAATTTGGGGGAAATTCCTTTGTGCTTGCCAGTTGATAATGGGGAGGGAGGATCATTAATCGAAGAATTTAGAAGTGGACTCTCACAAAAGTCCAAGGATAATGTATTAGAGTTTTATTAAGAGTTTAAATTAAAAACAACTCCAGGGCAGCCTAGCTATAAATCACAGCGGCTTCCTGGAGGAGGAGAATAAAGAGAAGTTAAAAAAAAAATGACAAGCAGCCCCATGGCAGGGAGGGGGGCTTTAGAGAGAGTGAGAAAAGGCACACTTAGATTCTGACCAACGTGGGAAAGAAAGAATAGAGAAAGGGAAAACGTTGCGCCCTGTCAGGGAGCATGGCCGAGCAGACCTCACCACACCTCTGGCTGCACCTGCCTGGGGATTGTGCTGGGCAACGGGAATTTTGGAGGGAAATGTATGGTTTCATCAAAGGAGACGTTAGTCTGCCTATCTCTTCAGCGTGGCTTAGGGTGAGTCCCCTTCGCAGGAGTGTTCTTGGCCTCCTGAGTGACTCAGCCCAGCTGGAATGCTGGGTCTGCACCCAGGCCAGAGATTCAATTCTCCAGGCCAGGATCTTTTCCTTAATGGGCCACTACTGCTGCTCAAATAGGGATTCGCTCCCAGAGTTCCTAACTCAGCTGATGCTCTCTACATTTTCACCTTTAGGTCCAGCCCTTCCTGCCCTAACATTTGTTAAAATTGTTTGCCAGTATATCAGGGAAAGCACATGTAGGCTTTTGATTGGGATCTAAAATAATAATAATAATAATAAATAAAGAAGGAAGTCTTCTGAGTTAGAACTCAGAAAACTGGGCCGGCTTCGCAACGCTGAGGAAGGAGAGCCTGATAAGGGGCTGCGCGGGGCTGGGGCTTCTGGGAGGACTTCTTCACACCCTCCGCAGCCCTTCACCAGGATCGACATTTCCCTGAGTCCCTATGGTTTCATGCTCAGCGCAGTAGGGAGATCCATATAACATCCCCTAATTCCTCTTCCTCAGGATCCATTCCCAGCTGAACCTCTTCTTCCGGATAGAAGCCCTTCAACTCTTTGCTCTTTCCTCACCAACTTTCCCTAAGCCCCTAAAGTCGACGCCCGCTACCCAGAATGCACTCTGTCTCCCCATTCTCTGTCCTCCACCCCAGGAGGAGCCTGTCTGCAGACTCACATCCTTCTGGATTTTTGGAGCTATGTTTTTAACCTATAACTTATATCCATTAATTTTCCTTTCAGAAACATCTTTATGCCTATAAAAATTCCTGACGATTTGAAGCAAAGCTATTAAACAGGTAATAGTTCAAGTGGAATGTACACTTGGCTGTACACCGTGAAGAGAACAGGAGACTGACCAGAAGTGGGAGGGAGGTCACAAATACGAAATCATGAGGTATTTCAGAGAAGGCATTTTGGGAAATGGTGACACCTTAGGTGGTTGACAAATGTCTCAGTCTGGGAAAGGCTCTGGGGCGTCCTCAAAAGAGGTATTCATTGCCACAGAGAAGCTTGGTCTCATAAAAACAAACGAAGAACGGTCTAATCTGTAGCCTTTGCTGATTGCTCTGGAGTCAATAATATCAGGACAGCCCAATCCAAGCTATTGGCTTGACGTCACTAAAAGTGGATTTGGGAAGATAAAGGTGAGTCATTCTCAGCAGCTTGGGGGAGTCATTGTCCCGAGTGCCAGTGCTGCTAACTGTGTGGATTCCCGTTGCTCGCCTTCTTTTCTTAAGGAAGGCTAATGACCACATTTACTTCACACAACTCTTATATTAAGCTCGACCAGGGGTAGGAAGTCTTGCAAGGTCTTCCAGTGGTTCTGTATCCCACCACTGCCATCCTGGAAACCCAGCACTCAGGCTGTGGAGGCATTTGATGTGACCCAAACAGCATCCGACAAAACTGAACCTGTCTAAAGTTTGACCCACTTGGTTCTTGGGCCAGGCAGCACTGGGGACCAATCCTGGAATCCAGGTCTACTTTCCTGTCAGATTCCAGAAGCCGGGATCGTCCAGACACTGCCGCAAGGTTGGATGGTTGGTTTCCCCCAGGACTTTCCTGTCCCTTTTAACACTCATGTCCTTCTCCTTCTGCACCTTTTCTTTCTAGTTTTCCTTCTTAGTTTTAGCCTCTTAGTTTTCCTTCTAAAAGAACTCCACGGGTACAGAAATCAAGGGCAATTTCAAGAAAAACGATTAAGAGAGAATGTCACCAGTGGCCTGTGGACTCGGGGCATCAGCATCTGCAACATGTATTGCTGAGACAATCGAAGCATTGGGAAGGTCAGATATAAGAGCTGGAGAAACAGAGTGGAGGAACTAGGAGGCTCTGCCCTGTGTGAACTCATGGAAGATCGATAGCATTCCACGGGTAGGTGAAAGAGCAAAGATCCTCTCCCAGCATGCAGTTCTCTCAGAGTGTGCACCAACAGGCCCTCCGGTTAAGAGAGGAAATAGAAAGAGGAAGCCCATGTTTCTTGGCTGAAGTCTGCTGGGGGATTATGGAGATGGGGCATGGAACTGAAGGACACATAAGCCTTTATCCAAGCCAGGCCAGGGGCTGAAAGAACAAGGCTCCCATTGTTTCTCTTCTCTGAAGTGAGAGGCAGGTTTCTTCCTGGAATTTGCACC